GATTGATGGTTCGGGTCTAAGTTGTGGGTCGGACATCGCATCAAAAGTAAAAAATTACGCAGATGCAAAAAAAAAAAAAAAAAAAAAGAGAAAACCTTGGAAAAAAAAAAGGTAACCCCAATTTATATAAATATAATTACCACAGACGTACATACGCTCCTCTTCCCCTCTCCGGCGAATGTGGGGGATAGAGAGAGAGAAAACTTTGGGATTTCCAATTTTGCCCCTGAACATACAAAGTGACACTTCAGACGGCTTCTTGAGAGGCACACTCCACGTGGCACTTGCCCTCTTCGCCTCCTGACGGCTCCTTTCCAGTTTCGGCCGTATCTCCTCCGTCACCGTCAGATCCTCCACGTGGCGTCATCGCCTTCTCTTCCTCGCCGTTCGATTGAGACGTGACGTCGACGTCGACGGCGACGTCGACAGGGTACACTTCCGACACACCTAACGGACTCAAGACGACAATCGTCTTGAGTTGATGATCTTGAATCTTCTTTTCCAAGTTAGATTTCTCCGAGTTCCGGTAGATTCCGTACAGAATCATCTGAACCATTCCCAATGCGAATCCCAACACGTTCGGAATCTGCGTCGGTCCAAACACCAAAACTTTTTAGAAACGAAATTTTCATAAGATAGATGATATATATATATGTATGTAAATACACTTACGGCTATGCATATGTCGTGGAGGAACAAGCCATAAGCGAACCACATAACGGCACTGATCGTCAAGAAGAAGGAGAGTGTGAAAGGCATGAACTCCACGCTCTTTGTCCGTATCACACGAGCCTACATATATATATATATATATATGTACGTTAAAAATATGTTTTTCAGACATTTTGGCAAATGATTTCGAAAAGGGTACTGAAATATTCATATGCCATTAACAGATCCTGAGGATTACAGTCGGTCCGAAACGAGATATTCTGTCGATGAGTATCGAAACTTACCACGACACTGAGTGGAGCTGCGAAGACTGAAACAGAGATTGCGACGCAAATCCAACCGAGAATCACGATCTGGTGACTGGAGTTCTTGACAAGAAAGTGAGTAACGATGAGAATCAACGAGAAGAAGGTAACGTTCATCGCCATGAACAGCTTCATAGCCGATATCTGTCAAAACACATGAGAAAGATCATGAAACATATTCATCATATGTATATGTGTGTGTGTGTGTGTAGAGCGGCTGGGCAGTGACTGGAGGAGAACGTGAGATTACCCTTTTGTCCTTGGCGGCGTAAGCGATGAACATCGCGATGTAGAAGGTTTCGACTACGCATCCGAAGGAGTTAATGGTAATTAGAAGGAAAGCGTTTTGTTTGAGCAATGCGTAGTAGAGCCAAAGCATGCAGCTGAAGAGCGAGACTTGGTACGGTAGAGACCGGAAACTCTCTGTCGATTTTTTCTTGTAGATTCTGTAGAACGTCGGTCTGAAAAAAGATAAAATATATACACAACCATATGATAAAAATCGATTATAAACAATTTCATTTGATGATATATATATTAATATATATATATATATATATGCATAAAAATTTATACTTACACTGGGGCGAGGAATACAAGGAATGATATGGCGTTACCTGTAATTAAATTTAACAAATGAAATTAGATTATGAGTCATTGTAAAGCTTCTGGTTTCGTGTAGATATTATTAAATTGATTTCGTGCCCAACCAAGTGCTCTAACCAACCACAACGGGAATTAATGAACACCGAAAACTAATGATCGGGGCAAAGTGTCATTAAAACATACATACACGTGGAAAATAACATCAACAAAAAGCGTGACGAGTAGAATTTTAATTAGCTCTATAAGCTTATATATATCTTGAGGTTAATGATCACAAAAATAGCGCCTAATTAATTTATATATGGCCCAATAGGTGGATGAAACTTAATGAGAGATTAACTATTTTGCATCTATTTAAGCAATAAACGAAATTAGGACCATTTTCGGTAGGTGGGTCACGATCAACAAAACTATATATAATACTATAGTTCTTATACGTATTTTGTGGAACCATACTAAAACCTTGCATGCAAAGTTAGCAACATATATAACAACTGCTGCTAAAATCATTTTCTAAAGGAAAGACTCGAGTTTAAGGCGAACCTCTATAAGGTTAATCTAGAGAAAGAATCGAGGTTCGTGATATAAGAGAATCAAAATCAAAGGAGATAACAAACATAAGGAGATGATCCCAAAGCTTGATATATAGGAACTAAATAGTTGCGTTGTATGTATGTTTTGGTATATATGCAAATTTGATGATGGTGATGGTGATGATGATGATATTTTTGCATGGATAAGTGATACATTACCTAAAATTCCAAAGGTTACAGCCAACAGATGCTGGTTGATCATCACGGCCATGGTTCCTCAAAAACTTGATGAAGAAGAGGAGCTTATGTATGTGGGGATTAATTAAGGGTCTCAAGATTTTTTTGAAACCCTAATTAAGCTTCTCCTCTCTCTCTCTCCTTATATGCTTCTCTCTCTAGAAATGTTTGTACATCTCATGGAGGATACTAATGGGGCTTGTGAGGCTTATATATAGGCCAAAATTAACCGTTGTAGTGAATCTTTATTTCCCTCTGGTTCAAAAAAAATATATTTAAGAAAAAACCCAAAAAAAAACCCAGCATGGTTGCATGACAAGTGGAGAATTAGTAGGTAGCGTAGCATAATATCATTTAACCCTTCTCTCACACGCGCTCAACACGCGCGTGTCCTTCACCTCCCTAACATTTGTATATTTGGTTTCATTAAAATGAAATGTGAATACGAAACCAATCTATTGAAAATCACGATCAGTATTCCAAATATATATGCCGAAATCTAAACCATGTTAATATAAAAAAAATGTAGTATGAAAAACCCTAATTAATGGTGTGGTGGTCTTAATTATACAGAAATCAAGGACTTGAATGCATGCAATGGAATTCGATTATACATTATCAACGGCTAAATTATTTTTTAAGAAACTATAAACTTATCGCTATAAACTATAACGACGAAAATATTATGAAAACATAACCTAAATTTCATTCGAACTTTGTGCTTGAGTTAATAATGCAAAAAAGGGGGAAATAATTGTTGTTATTTGCTCTTTTAATTGATTATTAATGAATATATTTATGCGTTACGGTCCCCCGCAATACACGTGACATCTCCAAACACTTCCTTTTTAGCCGTTTCTACATTAGAGAATTTTTTTAAAAAAAAAAAAAAGCAAACAGAGACGAGTATTGCCACGTCAACAGTGCTGACGTGGACGCCTTCCGACCATCCTCTGTGCTTCCGTGTCCGTAGAAGATCTCCATGTGTACTCTTCTTCCTACTTTTTTCCTCATTTTCAGGACCCTTTTTTCTCTCAATCACAAAATAAAAAACATTAATCATGCACACTTTTTTTTTTTGTAATTACGGTTTGATTAGCTTATACAATTAATGATGGATTTTTTTTTTTACAAAATGGGTTGCCGTAAAATGAAAGAATTCGAGTTTTTTTTTAAAAAAAAAGGAATTAAAGAGAGGTTAGGTATGGAGATTTGTTGTGGCAAGAGTTAGAGATTTGGTGCGTCGCATTAAATTCGGGAAAATACGAAACTTTTCTGCATATTTCGAGGCTCTGTTTGAGCAGCTATTCGAATAATGGTGACAAAAGGAGTGACGTCGGGGACGAATGATACCATGATTGCGTTTGTTATAAAATCGTTCTTGTCCTCATTCGTGAGCTGTATACACACACACACACGTATATATATATATATACACACATATATATTTATGTAACATGCCAGATTTGTGGTTCTCCATAACCGGTGTCCGAACTTCAATAATTTTATATTTTATTTTGTTGTTGATTGGAGCCTAGATTTTTAGTTTACGTACGTTTCCATGCGGTTCATGCAATTTCCTCTTCCTCATAACATTTATTTTTTTTAAATAATATCTTAAGATTGTATTCGACGACTAGTCTCTCAATCAAGAATTAGTAGTTTATCCGTTGATTCGAATTATAATTTATCTCTTTCTAAAAACTGTTTTAGATAATTATTTTTGTTTTTATTTACCGTTAAATTATTTTTGTTGGATATATTTATATGATTACCCAAGATTGTATAAAGTATATATAAGTAAAAAATAAAAACTTGACCAGGGTAGCACTGTTCTGTCGCAATAAATATCATATAGTCCGATCATTACCTCAATCATGCGATTTGTTGGTGACCCACAACGATAAATATTTGTATGTTTTCACCCAAAATAAAATAAAAAAAATAAAAAATTGCATATATCATTTGTAGTTTATGAGATGCTACCACATACGGAATGATGCACAACACATGATGCGGGTGTGTTTTCTTCGTTTTATGATTGCATGCAATCTGGTTCGTACGGATCTAGCTGTACATACATGGACACATATATTTATAGCATTGTATGTATAGCTTTCAATGATAGATATGAATTCGTTACGGAGTTAATCAGAATAATTTATTTGTGAATGACAAGATATATATACTTTAACTCTTACCATATAACTACATTAATTCTTTAAAACTTGCATACGTGTGCAAAATAATAATATTACTGTAAATGATGGTAAGGGATGTTTATATTTTGAAAATAACTATACTTAAACAATGGTTATGATATTTATATTTTAGAACAATTGTTATATTTTAGTGTTACTATTGTTTAGATAGATTTCTACGATAACATTTTAAAACTTTATGTATTTATTGAAAGTTTTTTAATCATGTATTTTCATTAGTTATTTTTTTTTCTAGTCTGTTTAGTTTTAAAGATATAGTGAGAATAGGAAAATATTATCCCACATTAAATATAAAAAATATGTCACTCCATCAAAATTTAAATTTTTTTTTAAAAAAAAAATCAACCCTAGTCCGAGAGAAGGTGATAGTGTATACATGAACATCCAAATGAATACGTACATACATATATGATGTGCACAATTAGAAAGGCCATGTCCCCTTCGTCACGAGGCGCTCATGAATTTAATATATTTCTGTGTAATGGATCGTTAGTTTGTAATAAATTGTCGAATTTCAGGCATATATTTAAATTGAATTGTGAGGTGACGAAATGGAATGTCAAGGCCAAGGGAGGACACATTTCCTTATGATTGAATTTTTGGGATTCGACCTCTAAATAAGACTCGTCCTTTTCATATTCAATCATACCACCAAATTTAATTTAATCAAATAGGTCATGAAAACGACCTCTTATTCGCCATTCTATATCAATCTAAATCATACAAACAAAATGTGTTGGATGGTTACCCTTTTTAATTCAATAGATACATTTATGTATACATTTCATGATGTTAATTAGAATGGATCTTTCATAATAGATTATAGTGCTCTTGAAGAAATTTATTTCGAATAAGATTTTTTGATATGTTATAATGATATAGGGTACTAAAAAAACACATGCACATATTTTGTTTATCATATCATAAAATTCATGTATAAGATTGGAACTGCAATAAACTATGCATGATAGTGCACGATTTCCTCAACACATGCAAGTAATTAAATGTATAAACTTTTACTATATATATATATATATTGATCGTATTGTATAGAACATATTTTGAATTTATGTAACGATATATCTAAATTTGAATAATTTAACCGATGAAATGAGAGTGTAAAACGTTAGTTCCGCCTCGAGTTGGAACCTCAAATTTGGGGAGGAGATTATTTCAAATCATATGGTTGGTCCCAAATCCCGAGATTAGTATGGACCTTCGTTTAGGGTATTCGGTTACAAAAAAAATATATTATTGCTCTAATAAATAGATATGGATTGAGTTATGGTTTCGTTCTCATAATTGAGATTTTTGAGGACTCAAACGTGTGACTTGAAGAAAACTAATGGCTCAAAATTCGAAGGGGCCAAAAATTGTGGGGCTTGTGTCGAATTTTAAGAAATATCGATTAGAATCATAACGAAGATTTGTGCTCAAGTGGTGAGGAAATGCCACACGTAGCGTGAATGAAAATTGAAATCGTCTCACGGATCCACCAAAGAAACGTCTAATCATTAATATTCCACGTCTGCTGAAATTATTTTGTTATTTTTTTTCCCATTTCACGTTAGAAACTTAGACGTCGAAATTTAAAAATAAAATAAAATAGAAAGTTAAGGAAATATGGTTCATTGCATAGTGCAAAAAATAACGTTTTTTCTCTCTAGCTTTTTTGTTCGTGCTTGCAACTGTCTTGTTCACTTTACTTTGCGTGATTTTAAGAAATATTGGAAATATATATAAAAAAAAATGGTAATGATTTTTCTTAACACAAACGAAAATGATTAATGCTAAGTTAAAAGTTTGCCCAAATAATAATTTTGATTCACATTTATAAAACTAAACAGAATCGCTTTAAAATATTAAATAATTGTATTTGAATTAAAATGTGATCCACATTTATATGGTATAATTGTTAAATTAAATTTTAAAAAATATGAATCAAATTTGACACCTATTATAAAATAAGATAAATATAATTGTTTAAAAGATAAAAAAATACTAAATAAAAAAATAACGGATTGAATAAAAGCCAATGGATTCAATAGAAAAGGTTTTTTTTTTGGTTTACTTATTGGACCAAAACATTTATTGAGTAAAGATTATTTTGTCCCAAACTCTTCTATAAAATAAAGACAACTAGATGTGATTCTTAGGTTAGTTTAGTTTATACTAAAACTAGAATAAATAAAATATTGTTTCTTTTGTAACGATCATATCATTTCCGAACTATATTAGGGGATTGGAAAATCGATGATTGAACGAAACACGTTTTGATGCGCACTTTTGACTCCTCGTTGACTTTAACATGACGTGGCAACGCATGTGATCTCTTCTCTAATCATATGCAGATGTGTTTATGTTTTTGTAAAAAAAAAACAAAAACAAAAGGCAATCATCGTATCCAATTGTCGTGTGGTGATTCGTTAATTTTGATATATAGGTAAATAAAAATAGGGATAACAGCCTAAAAATCAGGAACTTGAAAAAATTCTAAATAAAATTATGAATTTAAACTTTTATACATAAAATCATAAACTTTATAAATCTTACCATATCTCCACGCATTTAACTTTAAAAATTTTAAACTTTTATATTAAATCATAAAGTTATTAATTTTGCGGAAATACAAAAGTTTAATAAAATTCATGTTTTTATGTTATATCGGCTCACCAATAATTCATATAACAATGTCATTTCCTATTCCATTTGGATCCTAGTCAGTCCTACACACAACGAAGAACCATTGGATTGAAGAGTTTGAGTTTATCTGGACACATGCATTGTATTATACATAATTCCACAAACAAACAAAAAGTAATGGTGAGAATTGTTTTATAATAATAATAATAATAACACACGGTTAGGTTAAAATCAAATACAACCCTACTTTATTTGTTTATATATATCTATATATATATATATATATATATTATGATTGGA